AGACTGGCAGGGTACAGTCCATGGGTTCCCGAAGTCTGATACAACTCAACGACTAAAACAACAACAGTGTAACATATGCTAAGTGCTCAATCAGACAGTTAGGTTATTATGCTGAAGCTCAGTAAACACTCCTTAGGGTCTTTAAAACCCTCTTAAAAGTGAAGCAAAACCTTTCTGATGGGGCTTTCAGCAATAGTCCCTTTGGACCTCTTTGAAGGCAGGTGTTCTTTAGTCTTAATTCCTGCAGCTCAGGTTTGATGAAGCTGCAGTATTTAGCAATTTGAATTGTTAATTGCCAGGCAGATTTCTGGAAATGCCATTATCTCCTAAGTCATGTCTACTTTAAAACAGCACAAGCAAACCGTCTGAGGTCTCCCTCTCTACCTTCCCCCTAAAAAAAAAAAAAGTCCACTTATTCAGCTCCTGTTTCCTAAGGGGTCCAACTATCAGGTGCCGTGCAAGGTGTGTGGACGTTGTAGAAAGAGCTAAGACTCATCTTTGGCTCCTAGGTGCTGGATATTGGTCAGGTGACTTCTACAAGCCAGAACCATGCCTCTTGCTCTCCCCCTGCCCAGCACCATACTAGACCCCCACAAGCTGAGAGAAGGGGAAATGAGCTCTCTCTGCCTTCAGAGAGCTTATAATCAGTAAAGAAGATAAAATTTACAGAGGTCTGGTTATATTTTGTTAATCAGCATGTGGTGTGGACGTTTAGGGCTTCTCCAGTGGTTCAGTGGTAAAGAATCTGCCTGCAATGCAAGACCCATAGGAGACACAGGTTTGATCCCTGGGTCAGGAAGATCCCCTGGAGGAGGGCATGGCAACCCACTGCAGTGTTCTTGCCTGGGGAATCCCAGGGACAGAGGAGCCTGGCAGGTCACAGTCTGTGGGGTCACAAAGAGTTGGACAGGACTGAAGGGACTTAGCACGCACACACATGGACATTTAAATGCTATAGATACAGAAGTGGAAGAGACTGTGACATCTGGGTATTCTGGCTTTGAATGGAAGTTGGAGAGAGGATCTGGGTTAACACCTGGGTGTCTGGGAGCCGCAGGAGAGAAGGCAGACAAGGACGGAGGAGTTTACTGACAGCCGTGACGGCTGAGGTCAGCGCAGATCCAGGAGGGAGCGGACGGTTTTGAAGCTCATGGTTTCAGCAGCTCTTTGGGTTTTTAACAGTTGTCTGGAGGCTCAGAGTTGGGAGAAGGGGCTGCTGCTCCTCTGCGTTTACGTCTGGGGCCTCCAGCAAGGACTATCTTTTTGGATCTCCATGGCCTCCAAGAGGAAGAGGTTAGAGGGGTGATGAAGGCCAGGGTCTCTTTCACTGTCGAGTTCCTGGGATTGTGTATTCCATAGTGAGAAAAGTACTGAGCACAATGCAGGAGACGCAAGAGATGCAGATTCGATTCCTGGGTCGGGAAGATCCCCTGGAGGAGGGCATGGCAACCCACTCCAGTATCCTTGCCTGGAGAAGCCCATGGACGGAGGAGTCTGGCGGGCTACAGTTTATCAGGTCACTAAGAGTCAGAGAGGACTGAGCGCATGTGCACACGCGTGTGCTCGCACACACACAGTGCCTGTCGCCTAGTAGGTGTGCAGGGAGACAGCTGTGTCCACCTCAAGCGTCCCTCCCTGAGCCTTGTGCTTGGTATAAAAGGATGCGGAGCTGCCTTGGGCCTGGCTGGCGGCAGAACCGTCCAGCTGAGCCTCGAAGGGAGGCTTTGGCCCTGCCTCAGCCCTGGACTCATTGCAAGGTCGTGAGCAGCTAGCTCATCTGTGCCCATCGCCTCATCAGCTAAGAAATGCTCTTCATGAGATTAGAGTTTGGTGTTTTAAAGGAAAATATGAAATTTTCTTCAGAGTCAAAATACTATATAAGAAGGGAAAAATTCAATGTTAAATGACATCATTTGAAACTTGCCTTTTGGATAAAATTTCATTGTATGTGCGATCAAAGGTACTACCAATGTACGTCTGTTGACAGATAACAGCAGTTTTTCCTGCATCCTGTATTTACTGCCGATATTTAAGTTGTGACTTCCTAATATGAAACAGTTTCAGCAGGTACCTGCTGTTTGCTGTCTGTCCCTTTTCGTTGAACCTTGTCTGGTGCATTTCCGCTGTCTGTGAAATCCCTTTCATTCGTGTTGTCCTACGAGAGTGGGCTGCCCGCCCCCCTGATGGATTGTGAGGACCAAGTTAAAAGGGAGGAAAACAGGGGGATTCCTGCTGCTGCGTCCTCCCTGTAACCATCCATGTGAGGCCGGGAACACGCTGCATCTTGTGCTGTTACCTTCCCACTTCTCTGGGTTTTTTTTGTTGTTGTTATTATTAATATATATATATTTTTTTATTAGTTGGAGGCTAATTACTTTACAATATTGTAGTGGTTTTTGTCATACATTGACATGAATCAGCCATAGATTTACATGTATTCCCCATCCCGATCCCCCCTCCCACCTCCATCTCTACCCGATCCCTCTGCTTCTCTATTTTTACATCCGTTTTTATCAGGAAAATCTGTGTGACTCCTCTGTCGTGGGATTCTAACCTTGGGGTAATTTGCATAGTCTGTACTTATCTAAGCCCATAAGAGGCGCTTGGAATTTTTATTTCATTAGTCAAAATAGATTTAAGAAGGTTTTCTTTTCTGCTGTTCCCTTGACTTTAATGATCTTAACATTTTTAAAGACTACAGGCCATTTATTTTATAGAATGTCTCTTAATACGGATTTGACTGATAGTTCCTCATGATTCTATCTAGGTTTTGCATCATTGGCAAGAAATGTGATTTTTAAATATTGTTATTTTGAGATTATTTCCTTGATTCTTCATGAAGTCAGTGAAGTTGGAATAAAGCACTGCACATTGAATTTTGACATTTATTTGACTGGGAATAAATTATACACGGGCTTCCCTTGTAGCTCAGTCAGTAAAGAATCTTCATGTAATACTGGACACCCGGGTTCAATTCCTGGGTTGGGAAGATCCCCTGGAGTAGGAAATTGCAACCCATGGCAAACCAGTATTCTTGCCTGGAGAATTGCATGGGCAGAGGAGCCAGGGGTCGGACTCGACTTAGCAACTAGACCACCACCACCACCCAAACCATACACTGTAAGCTATAAACTACAAATCACCATACTTCACAAATCTGGACTCAATAGAAAAATGGGTCCAATATTTCAGCAGCCAGATCACAGAAGAGGAAGTCCTGTAAACATATGAAAGTGTACGTCCTTAATTGTAATCAGGAAAACGTAAATTCAGATCATTTTATACCCATGAAATTAGCAACAATTTGCAAGTTTGATGTCACATCAGGTTTTGGCAAGGGTGTAGAACAATGGGAATCTTCAAGCCTACTGTGGAAATGTAAGCTGATGGAAACACTTGAAAAGTTTAGCATTATATTAAAGATGTGCATTTTCTAAAACCCAGAAACTTCACCTCTTGGTGATCACAGATTTCAGAGACATTGTTGATTTGGTTTCAGACCATTGCAATAAAATAAATATCTCAATAAAGCAAGCCACACACTTTTTTGGTTTCCCGGTGCATATAATGGTTATGTTATACTATACCCCAGCCTGTTAAGTGTGCGATAGTATTTTGTCTAGAAAAACAATATATCTACCTTAATGAAGAAATGTTTTATTGATCAGTATTAACCATCATTATCTGAGCCTTCCATGAAGTTGTAGTGGTATTAGCAAGGATCACTGATCTCAGACAAATTACTGTAACAAAGTAATTATAATGAACAGGTTTGAAATATCTTGAGAGATGTTCAAATGTGGCAGAGATCCACAGTGAGCAGTGTTAGAGAGACGGCATCGTTAGACTTGCTCCACCCAGGGTTTCCACAAACCTTCAGCTTGAAAAAAAAACATGACCTGCGAAGTACAATAAAGCAAGATGTGCCTGTATGCTATAGGAAAACCTTGCTCATATTCACTGGGCAACATCTATAAGGATGTAGCATTATTTATAACAACCCAGAGAAACTGGAAAACAAGTTAAATGTGCTTCAGTAAAATTTGTAGTCAAGGGACGTCAGAACCTCTACTATTTGGGAGGGAAAAGCATAGGTTACTAGAGTTTTCAGAATAACAGCTTTCAGAAAGTTATTCTTGATGGCACTGCTTGTCTCAAAAAGGAAAAAAATATTTGGGTAGGCGTTCACCCACAGTGACAGACAGGATGGCCCTGTGGAGGTCATGGCTTGGAGAAGTCCAATCGCATGGCCCTTAGCACGGGTGCTGGGTGCCTTGCCTATTGGAGTCTCTCTCGGGAGAGCAGGGGCCTGGCTGGGGAGGCTGGCCTTGGCCCTTGGATACCATTTTTCAAAGTAAGAAATGAAATTCTTCCTACCCTGTCAGTAAACAAGGATGTCACAGCCATCAGCCCTCCAAGTGAGCCTAAGGATACTGGGGAAAGAGAAGAATAGCTGCCATCTCGCAGCCGTCAGACTCCAGCCACCCCCTTCGGGGAGCCCAAGTCAGCTCAGAGTGTGAAAAGCACAGGATCCCGGCCAGGACGGCTGAGATGCACATGAAAGAAATGGTGTCAGGGATCAGAGATGCTCGCATCTTCCCATGCCTAGAAAAGCGCTAAAGTCCTTACCTTGGGATACCTGGTTTCCTTTAACAGTAATCTTTTGATGCTAAGACTACCTGCCCTTTGTTGCAAAACTTCTTTATGACCTGACTCCTCCCCTCACCTCCTCTGAGAGCGGTTCTCTGAGGGTCACTTGAGATGCTGTCTCTTGAGCGTGGAGTCCTAAAAATTCTCACCGAATGAAAGGTAACTCTCAACTTTTAGGTTGGGACTATCTTTTTCAGTGGACAGAAGGTGCACGTGGACCCTGGCCGAGAAAGCTGGTGGGATGCTGGATGGATGGAAGTCACTCATGATGAGGGGGCTTTCAAGATTGCACTGCAACTGTTTACCGATCTCATTTTCTCGATGCTCAATGGCATAATGCTCCCCTGCAGGAGGAGCAGCTGAAATCCCACGAGACCAAGCTGAGGCAGATCGCCGCGGAGCTGGCGGAGCACCGGTCCTACCCGCCCGACAAGAAGGCCAAAGCCAAGGAGGTGGATGAGTACAAGCTCAAAGACCACTACCTGGAGTTTGAGGTGTGTTGAACCTAAACGTCACAATGCCTGGTACCCGAGCTATCTTAGGGTGCTTCCACGAGGCAGGCTCTTGTTTTTATAGCTGCCTTATCTGTGGGCAGCACACCTTGGCCCTCCCTCTCCTGGGGCTCCGGGCGGGGTCTCAGGCACGGTGGACCCCTCATGCTCATGGTTCTGTTTAAGCATCAAAGAATAACTGTCAGTGTTTATGCTTAAAAGCAAATCGCCTGCTGGTTGGGATAGCATGTGCTGGCTGCGAGACAAAAAAGCAACAGTCGATGGACATGCCAGGGTGGGCAGCCGCTTTCTCTATTTCTGCATCTCTCCCAGCAGAGTCTGAGTCAGAAAAAGTACCGCGGAGGAAACAAGCTGCGGGGTGCCGGGCGCGTCTCCCGCAGGCGCCCTGGCTGCTAGGCAACAGAGGCAGCTCTCCTCTGCGTCTCCTGCCCTTCGCACGGAGGCTGGCAAACCAAGGCCTGGCACATCCAGTGCTCTAGCACGTGTGGCCACTAAACGGAATGGGGAGGATCCGTACAGTCTGGAAAGACGAAATCTAAACGCTAGGTGAAAGCACTGTGAACAGTAAATGTTGCCTTTGCCTAAGGGGCTTCCCAGGCGGCGCTTGTGGTAAAGAACCCGCCTGCCCATGCAGGAGACGTAAGAAACGCAGTTTCAATCCCTGGGTCGGGAAGATCCCCTGGAGGAGGGCATGGCAACCCACTCCAGTATTCTTGCCTGGAGAATCCCATGGACAGAGGAGCCTGGCGGGCTACAGTCCACGGGGTCACACAGACATGATGGAAGTGACTTAGCATGTACGCACCTTCAGATACATTGTCTCCCCAGTGTCAGGGTTATGTTTTAACTGTGACTACCCCATCAGCTGCCACTTGAAGACACGGAAAGGATCCTTGATTTTAAGTACATGGGCTTAGTCCAAACTAAAGAACAATTATCTTTTAATTTTTATATAATTTTTTTTTCTGTGGAGTGTGTTGAATCTGTCTTTAGCTATTCTTTTGCTTTGTAGATCTGGTCTGTTCTTATTCATCTTCTTTCCCATCTTACAATCCTGTTTCTTCCTTGGGCTTAAAACACAGCATCATCCGAGCACCCTCACCTTGACCCATCTCCCCCAGACCTAATCAGACACCAGACCCCAGAGCCCAGCGCCCTCTCTGCTGCCTCTCCTGACCCTACTTGCCACCAGCTCCGCCTTTAGGCCCCCTCTGCCCAGGGCCCAGGTTTTTTCACCTCTCTTCTGAACCCGGTGGCGCTTCTGTCTTCAGCTCATCCTACACACTCCTGAGAGTTTTCTAAGGCATGCTTCTGTCAACAGCTGCCCTGGGTTTTCCCCTTCACCTCCCCCAACAATTTACCTTCAGATAAAGTCCAGTCCTTAATCTGAGAGGATTTGGGTTCCTTCTGTCTGTCCACAGCACAGGTCTTCCCACCATGACCTCCATGTAGATCGGTCATTTTTCTGCTACTTTACCCTCTCCAAACACGCTGTTATGCCTTTGTTCATCTACTATGAAAAGAAAAAAAGAAAGTTATAACATACTCAGTTATGTCGTATTCTTTGCAACTCCATGGACTGTAGCCCGCCAGGCTCCTCTGTCCATGGAATACTCCAGACAAGAATACTGGAGTGGGTTGCCATTTCCTTCTCCAGGGGATCTTCCCGACCCAGGGATTGATCCCCAGTCTCCTGCATTGCAGGCAGATTCTTTACCTTCTGCCCCAGCTGCTCTTCCCCCCTTTCATTTCATCCTGTTCGTCTTTCAGGGTGCAGCCCAGGCCCCTCCTGTGAAAAGCCTTCTCTCAGCCTTCTGGTCCCCGTCCTGCTTGGGGGCTCCTGTTGGGATGGTTTCAGGGTCTTTGCATCTGTGGTCAGTCCCCACAGTGTCTGCCCCCCGAGACTGTGAGCCCTCGAGAGCAGGGGCCTCGGGTCCCCTTCCCATCTCTGTCCTGTGCTCGCTTGTTGAATTGGACAGGGTTTCATGGAAGCTTTTAGAAGTCTTAGATTTCAGAGTTATAAAATGTGGCATTTGGTGCCGTGAAGATCCATGTACCAGTTTTCTTCATGGCTAAGCAAGTCCTTGCTCTGTGCAGATGAAGAAAAATCTTCCTTTTATTAAAGATGAAACTTTATTAGCTAAAACTTTGGAAGCCTTCCCAGTCAAAGACTTCTTGAAAAAATACTTTTTAAAAAACAGAATTACTAAGTGGCTCATCTCTGTCCACACCTGTTCGGTCTTGGGAAATGGGAGTCCTCAGAAATCTACCGCAATTCCTCACACGTCTGGAGTGGCTTTCAGCTGCCAGCCTGTTAGTTTCACACGTGCTGATTAATTTCCCAGCTCCTCAGGTCCCTGCTGCCAGCCCGCAACACCTCGCTCTGAGCCCTTGGCTCCAAGGCCGTGAGTCTGCACCCAGGAGGCAGGGGTGGCCGCAGGACTAAGGAAGGGTCACCCCCGCTAGATGCTCCCCCGGCTTTGAACCTCCTGTTGGAGCCCTTTTTCTGGAAATGTAATCCAGCCAAAGCCAGCATTTCCATTTCCTGACATGAACTTTAGATCAGCCTTTATGTGGGTAAAGTCTTGCTTTCATCAAATTGTCACATCAAGGAGTGCGAAGGTTGCGTTCCAGGACTTGGCTCATTAATATCTTCCCATATGGTAACACATCAGGCATGTTGGAGTGTCTGTCGAATCTCACTGACCTGTGTACCAGAAAGGCGGACGGTCCCCTCTCTTCTTAGAGGTTATCTAACAAGGTTTTTGTGAAGTAGTCTCTTTTTTTAAGAGAACCGTTACTTTTCAGTAACTGAAAGTTGAAGTAGTGTATCTTGTGGGGTCCACTCTGCTGTTATTTCAGCCACCAGGCTCTGTCCTGTGCATGTACCTGCAGCGATGCCCTCAGAGCATCCAGCTTTCTAAGGCTGTTCCCCGGATGGGGGTCTGAGCGTGATGGACCAGCCCCGCGGGGTAAGGGGGAAGGTGTCTGAACTTCAGGGACCCTCCAGCATATTCATTCATTGTTCTTTCCTCAGCTTCTGGAAGATGGATCGAGTACTCATACGTCTTTGTTGAGTAAATAAATGGAATAAGGCAACATCAGAGGAAAGCTTAGTAGCTCCCCTGAAAACAAAAGTGTTAAGCAGACAGCAGTGTCTGCAGTTCCCTATGACCCCAGACAGGCAGGGACCGGAGGGGCATCTTGAGTCCCACCGCAGGCCTGCTCTCACACCTGCTCCGGTGGTAGGAACTCCCTGCGGTTTCAGAGCAGCTCTTGTAATTTTCACATCTTGGTAAGAAAAGCACCTTCATTTTGTTAGAATATTAAGTCCTTGGTAGTAACACGGTTGTTTCTAACTGGATGCATTTCAGTTGTTTATATCCCAGGTTGCTTTGAGTACAACAAACAGTTCTTCAGGTGGGCCAAATTTGCAGCACTTAGAAATTCTCTTAACCCCGACTGACAGTAAATAATTAGAAACTCTGGTAAATAAGAAGGTTCAGGGATGGGTTTTGTTTGTTTAAGTTGAACTTTACCGAATTACATTGTTTGTTTATTTTTGGCTATTCTGGGTCTTCACTGCAATGCACGGGCTTTTTCTCCAGTTGCAGTAACCTGGGGCTCGTCTTTAGTTTTGGTGCGTGGTCCTCTCATTACAGGGGCCTCTCTCGCGCTGAAGCATGGGCTCAGGGCACGCGGGCTTCAGTACTGGTGCCACCTTGGCTCAGGAGTTGTGGCACGCATGCTTAGCTGCTCCTCGGCATGTAGGATCTCCCTGGACCAGGGATCGAACCCAAGTCTCCTGCATTGGCAGGTGGCTTCTTTCCCACTGAGCCACCAGGGAAGCCTTGTTTATTTTTGAAGTCTATAAAAAGTCTGCAGAGAATAAGCAGACTTACATCAACTTCAGCCTGAGCCTGTAAGAAGACGGCGCGCTATTACTGATGGCAGCAAACTCCGCTCAGAATGACTGTAGTTCACCAGGTCCCTGCCTCTCTCTCTTCTGCCTGTGCAGGGGAGGTTGGTGTGGGTGGTGGGGCATTGCTTTGTTCTTGATTGAATTGGTTCCCCAAAGTCGTGGCTGTTGATTGTTTACAAGGGTTCATGTGGAGTCTAATCTCAGCTTTGCAAGAGTTGTTAGGCGTCACAAGTCTGTGTAAGAAACTCACCATCATTTCCCAGTTTTCAAAAAATAAATATCAGAAATAGCTCCACTTCCTTTTGACTTCACTTACTTCTACTCTATTCAGCTCCCTTTTCACTTAAAAATGTTGAATCGATTTCCACGTTTCTGGTGCATTTGGAAATTTATCAGGATGTGGGACAGGTGCGTGGTGTTTGTCACATGAAAACTTACAAAGCTCCAGCCGCTTGAATCACAGGAGCCTGGGTTCTGCCCGATGCCCCTTGGCCCTCAGAGGAACAGCCCTGTTGCAGGAGTTCCCTCGCCAGCATTGACCTTGGCCCCAGAAATTTGACTTTTTGTTTCTTCACAGTTGAAGTGAAGATGATGTTTGCTCCAGGATGTTTTTCAAGTGACATCTAAGATGTTTTCCGTGGCATAAGTTATTAATAATTCTTAGACGTGAGTAGGGAAGGGGCAACGCTGGCAGTTCCAACTGGGCAACTGGGCTGTCAGAGGCTGACTGAGGCGGGGGTGCTGAGGGCAGGCGCCCAGCAGCTCCCGGGCTCACTGCGGCACCACGGAGACTGGCAGGCAGCACAGGGCACTTCACGGCCATTTTCTTTGGCCCTCGCAGTGCTGGATTGGCTGGCGCTGAGATGTGAGTGCGTTCAGGGGAGACCAGCTGGGCCCTAACCCTAGCCTCCTGCCACCCCCGAGTACACCCAGCCTGGCAGGGCCCACGTTTGTGCTGGCAGCCGGGCTCCTGAGCGCGCCGACTGTGATGCAGACGCTTGGATGTGGTTTGTGCCTTAGAGCTGTGACTGTGGGCTTTGAACCAACTGTCTCTTCATGG